TGCCGTACCTGGTTCTGGGGCCGTTTTGAAGCGGTTCCAATGTCCCCAAAGCACGAGAAAGGAAACACGACCGGTCACAATGATGCTGCTGATGCTCGCGTACGGCGCGCGCGCACGCGCGCGCGCGCGCGGGGGGTGCTTGAAGGGCATGGGGGAAGAGCGAGAATCGGAGAGGCGACGGCCATGCCGGCCCATGCTGCCAGGCCCTACAATAACGCTTCTTCGCATACTGAATGCTGGCATTAGCGAGATGTTGATGTTCCGTCCAGCTTCCTTTTAAACCCAGACTCTGCCGATCAGTTGGGCAGCAGCACTACCAGATTAAAACCATCTGGGAAGCAGCACTGCCAGCCAGTCCAGTTTCTGAAGCTAGTTCTATTTACTAGTTGTTCGTCGCAGTCAAAGCAGCAAGTGTTGTCATAGGCGCCGTTCGGCTGCAGTTTCAGCAGCTGCTGGCGCTTGTCTTGCCATAGTCTCCGTCCTTGTTGTGAGCTGTCGCCTCCGCGCTTGTGGTTGCTGCGGCTTCTGCCAGCTGTTTCTGCCGTGGCTCGGATAATGCCGGCACTTTTAAAAATGCGCACGTGGGGAACGGTAATGATGATTCCGAAGAAGGTGGCGACTGATGCTGGTGACCACTTCTTCAGTTTCCCACAGCTTCGAAGCCTTCGGGTTCAGACCCGGGGCTTCAGGGCCCCTGGGCCTTAGGATACGTGGTGTTTCAGTCGGCCTACGACCCTATATGGCTGATAGACGGCGCATGGCTTCCACAGGCATGATGAAAACAGCGTAAGCTGAAAGCACCACGTCACCGTTCGAGGGTAAGACCTAAACCCTGCCAAGCTACGGTAGTCTGGCGAATCACCACGTCGATCGGATTTTGCACTGCATGAGTTTAGTCTAAATGGGTTTCTTCAGAACCGCCGAAGGGAGGGGACTGGCTGTGATGCACAGCTCAAAAATGCAAAAACAAACACCGGCACGAACTCCTAAACCCTGAAGCCTTTTCCCTAACCCTCACCCCGAAACTCTTTTGTCAGCTGAACCCCTCAACCGCCTACCCTAAGCCCCTCAACCCCGAACCCCTAAACCTAATATTACTGCAGGGGCCTTAATAATCAGAATAGGGTTTTGGGGTATATTATCCGATTATACTATAACTATAATCAGGAACCCCCCCAAAAACAGTAGAGGTAACTTTTTAAAGCCCCTACTTGGCCCTGAGCCCAACCTCGGGATCTGATGGACCGAGGATGTCGTCCTCGAAGTCTGTCGAGGAGAGTCCTTGAACATGAGCTAAAGTGGTGCTGTAAGGGTTTAGGGTTTAGGGTTCAGGGTGTGTGTGGTTGTTATGATAGTTTACAAAGTCTTTGTAAAGCTTGAGGGGGTTCGGAGTTGGAGTTCAGAAGTTTGGGCTTTGTTCAGGGTGTTGAGTCTTGCATGGGCCGGGTTAGGGTTCATGTCGGCGGTTGCGGCCTTGTCTAGAACTGGAATTTACGGGCTCTGGGCATTGGGCCCGCAACAATTCGACTCGGGGTGCGCTGTAGGTAGGGCCTAGAAACCCTGAGATACACCACTTGATGACATGATTACGACTTTCTCAGACTGCTGCCATGCACCTGGGCATGTGCTGGCATTCTGAACGAACCACCGGGCTCCCCCACCTGTTTTTGCCAGCAAGTGTCTCACCTCGACAGCGCGACTGAGTTTCACCAATGGCGGTTCGAAGCGATGCAGAGAGAGCGAGTTTGGGTGCATTGCAAGGTGCTTTCTTGGTACTAGCAAGCCCTACTGCAAGCTTCCAGCCTCTCAAAAACTCCAATGCCACACTGAACTTCATCCTACCCTAAACCTCAACATCCCTGTCTTTCAGCCGTGGCCAGACTAGAACCTCAGACCCACATGAATATGACGGCAGCAAACTTCGAGTATCGGGCTACAGTATTAAAATGGCATGTACTAGAAGGAGGAACCCTAAGGAAGTGTGTTGCGAAATCTTAACACTTCTGTGCCACACCGCACTCAAGATTGCATTAATACTTGCCGCAGAAAGAGCCAACAGACGCACACTCGCTGCCCCAACTACACAGGCTTCGTGTGGATGCACAGTGCAACATTCTCTTTGTTTCTCTCGCTCGCTGGCCCCTCTCTCTCTCTCCCTCTCTCCCTCCCCCTCTTTCTCTCCCCATGGATGTGCCACTCGCTCAGATCCGCCCCTCTTGTCAGCAAGTTTGCTTCTCACGAATCAGCGGTCTCGCCGACCTTCGCTCAAGTTGGAAACCGTGAGTGCCACAAGCTCTGAAAGTAAACCCTAAGCCCCAGTCCCCAAACGAACACGATGGCCGCCATGCCTGCGAGCTGGGCATCGCAACACCGTCGCCCAGAAGGGGCAAGACCTCAAGTTCGAAGGAATTCCCTGGGCTCGGAGGACTTGGGCCGAAGTCTAAGGACATACGGAACAACGACAAGAAGAAGACGACAAAAAGATACAAAAAGATCAAGACCGAGGCCAACAGCAACAGCAGCAGCAGCAGCAGCCGCAGCCAGTAGCAGCAGCAACAGAAGCAACAAGACGAACACCAGCGGCCACAGAAATAGCACAACCGTCACAGCTACACCACCACCACCACCACCACCACCAACAACAACAACAACACCACCAAAACCAACACCAGCACCAGCACCAGCAGCAGCAGCAGCAGCAGCAGCAGCAGCAGCAGCAGCAGCAGCAGCAGCAGCAGCAGCAGCAGCAGCACCAGCACCAGCAGCAGCACCCGCACCAGCACCAGCACCAGCACCAGCACCAGCACCAGCACCGCCAACGACAACAACAACCACAACCACAACCACAACCACAACGACAACAGCAGCAGCAACAACAACAACGACGACAACAGCAGCAGCAACAGCATCAACAACAGCAGCAACAATCACGACTATAAAATTACTGATGCCAGCAGCAACAGCCAGAGCAGCAGCCAGAGCAACAGCAACAGCAACAGCAACAGCAACAACAACAACAGCAGCTTCAACTTCAACTTCAACTTTTGAACTTCTACTACCATCACCACCAAGACTACCTTTATTCTGATTGTTTGCCTTAATGTTATCATCATTGCAGTATTAGTGTAGTCATTGTAGTCGAATGTTATGTACCGCATGCCAGGCGCATTGGAGACATGCTGGACGAGACTGGCGAAGGTCTGACATGAATCTGGGTCTTGCTTGTACGTCTGAGGATGCGCAGATCTATTCAAGGGTTTTTGAAAGCTTGAGAAACAGCATCTCAGCTGCGTTCCACAACGAACCAAGGGGTTTCCTGGCCCCAGTCGAGTACAACCAAAACTCAACGAACATTTTTATCGTGAAGCGACAACCCTAAGACCCTGAATTCAAAAATGCTTACACAAATTACTCTCTCAGGGCTTAGGGAACTTGCAGCCAGGGATGCAAGCTCTCAGATTTCCACTCCTGGCTGTGGGGATCTCAACACACAAAACTCTGCGTCAGAAGAAGAATCGTAAAGTTTCATTGCGGTTGATACTGGAGGGGTTAATGTTAAGGGAAAGTGCTGAGTCAGCCGAATGACAGCCATCCCTAGAAGGGGAGCTGAACTCCCAGGAGGCGCTCAAGGCGCTGCTGGAGCAGATGCAGCTTCAGCTCAGGCATCTTGTGATCTTGTGACTCATGATTTGTGCAGGGTGGGCTGGAAGGATTTGGGGTGTAGATTGCAAGCTTTGATCCGGGTGACATCTATTTCGGCTTTGGCCTTCTCGGGCGAGTGGATGCGGTTCAGGACAGCGCTGCTGCTGCTGCTCCTGGTGGTCATGGTGCTGATCATGCATGCAACACCACTATATGCCACTATAATGGTATCCATGACGATGATGACACTAGTGACGCGATGGTGATCGTGACTGTTGTGCTGCTGGTGGCTTTGCTATGGTAATGCCGAGGATGATAAGGACGAGAAGGAAGAGACACGAGGAGCTCTGCAGGAGGAGGTCGAGGATCGGAGGACAAGCCGGGAGTGAGGCCAACAGCGATTGATCTGCTGGACCCTCACAGTGGCGGCATGGGAAACGATTGTGTGCCTCCTGTCGCTTTTCCTGCGACGTGTGCACGGCCCCCCGGGCTGGTCGATGGAATCTACCGGCAGCAGGACCAGCCACCCAAAATCTTGAAGCGTGCACGCACAACCTGTCTGTAATGGGCTCAAGGTGCACAGACGCGGATCTTTGGTGCTCGTCGTTTCCCAGCGGAGGCTTCTTAAAGCCGAAACTTCAGCTAGCGCAATAGGGGGGTGTAGCTCCCGCTGCAGCTGTTGGTTTTCCGGCTGTTCGTCTCCTGTCGTCGACTATTTCCTCCTGCCACATCTGCTACTGCTATTGTCACAGTTGCGTTCGCAGCAATATGCCCCAGCTGTTGCTGTGGGCAGGTAATAGGTCGGTGGGTTATGTCCCAAACTCCATGTCCTGAACTGTGAGCTGCAAAAGAAAGTGCTATGCTTTTGTCCATGGACCTGGGTTTGGTGTTTTCTGAGCTTTGCCTTGCTGCCCGGCGAGCACCGCTACACCCAAACCTCTAAACTCAAAGCCTTTCCAAACCCAAGACTTTAAATACCACATTGTAAGCTTACTCTTCTTAGATCGAAACGCCAGGAGTCATCCTTGCCTTCTTTGCAGGCGGGGACGGGGTTTCAAGTCCGCCCGAATGTCATCTGCAGTTGCAAAAAAGTCAGCTTTCAGATCTGTCCCAAGCTGTGACTAGCAGCCCTGAGCCAATGCCCGAATTGTTCTTCACGAATGCAAGCCTCAGAAATGAAGTCCCACTTTTTGCAAGCATGCACGGATGCACAGATGGAAGGACGGACGGAAGGAATAGACGGATGGAGGCGTGTACGCAAGCATGCATGCATGCATGCATGCATGCATGCATGCGCGCATAGATGCAGACACATGCATGCCCTTATGCATTGCACGCACACGTGTGCGCATAGATGTAGAGACGTATACACATTACACGTACCCATGTGCGCACTCCATCCATCTATCCATCCATCCATCCATCCATCCATCCATCCATCCATCCATCCATCCATCCATCCATCCATCCATCCATCCATCCATCCATTTAACTATCCATTTACCTATCTATGGTGCGAGAGCAGGAGATGATCGCAGACCCTGAAGATGAGGCTGAGAAGGAGGTGCCGGAGGTTTAGGGTTTAGGGCCTGTAGCGTCTGGATCTGCGCCAGGCCATGGGGTAGGAACTATTTTCACAGTGTGTGTGTAGGTGAAAGATCTGTGATGGTCGGGCTTGTACTCAAAAGCCTAATGCCGTAAAGCACTTGAAACCTTTCAAACCGCTGCCAAAACACACACACACACACACAC